ATGTCCTGACCAGGTATGGTAAACATAATAGACCTATCAAAATAATTAACTTGGGCATGGTAGTGAGATAGCCAATCCATCCCAAGTATCACATCATAAATGTGCATGTCCAAGACCAATAGGTTGGCTAGAAATCTGAGTCTGCCAATATCTAGTGTCACAAGCCCATCACTCTCATGTAAAATAGTTGTATCGCCCAATGGTGTAGAAATACCCTGAGGTCTAGTGCATACTCTCGTCCTTATCCCAGATAAAATAACAAAAGTCCTAACTACAAATGAGTGTGTAGCACCCGTATCAAATAAAACACGTCCATGAAAACCATGTATAGGAAACTTACCCTCAACAGCCTGAGGTGCCTGCATATCCTGTGGCATGGGGTTGTACAACCTGCCATAATATAACTGCTGCGGTGCCTGTCCCTGAGCCTGCGGTGGTGCCGATAATGCCGGATAAGTCTGTCCCTGAATCCGAGGAACCTGTAGAGCTGGTAGAGGCATTGGCGCCCTCTGCCCCTGCTGCACATGCTGTCCCTGCCCCTGTTTCTGTCCCTGTCCCTGTCTAACAGTAGGACACTGCCTGGAAGTGTGACCATACTCTCCACAAGTATAACAACTACCCTGGAAAGTACCAAATGTGTCGGTTAGCCTGTGGCTGACCCTGTCCTGCCTGCGGTCCCCCATTCTATTGAAGCTAAATAGGTGCCGCATCCTTGGGAGCATCTGAACCACCCTTGTGCTTTTTCCAAGGCTGATGTCCCTCGAATCTGCCCTTGTTGTTCTGTCGGTGTCCATTCCCATTCCCTTTCTCAGCTGACTGATTAGCAGAGTCTCTGTCACCCCGCTTCTCACCCTTGGCCTGTCTAATATCTACCATCAACTGATACTGCTGTAGCACGGCACCTACCACCTGAGCATAGGTAGTATAGGCTAGACTACCAGTAATAGCTCTCTTGATAGACCACATTAGTCCCTTGATGAAACTGTTGCACTTCTTCTCCTCTATATCCACCTCCTCCGGTGCAAAGAGAGACAAACGTGTAAACTATTGCTCATACTCTACCACTGTCATGTTTCCCTGTTACAGATTGAGAAACTCAGTCTTCATGGCTGCCCTAACTACATAAGGAAAATATTTTTCTTCAAAGCGTGCACTGAACTTATCATAAGTCAAAGTCATCCTCTCCTCTATGGTGGTAACTGACTCCCACCACTGTAGTGCATCCCCAATTAGCTTGAAGGCAGCAAGCATATACTTCTGAACCTCCATTCACTGAACCAAGCGAAGATGTCGCTCGATGTCCTGTTTCTACTGATGAGCTGCTCTCACATCGATGGAGCCTGTAAACTCAGGTGGGCTCCCCTTTGTGAAAGAACTCCTAGCCTTCTCCCAAGTATCAGTCTAAACAACCGGTGCTGGTACCGGTGCTGGTAACGATGCCAGCTGTACCTGAGGCTGATTCCGAAGTGTAGCCGTTACCCCTGTTCCTATAACCCGAGCAATAAGGTCATTGAGGTGAGGAGGAAACTCTGAATCTCCTCCCTGATCCTGAGTCTGCTGAACTTCCTCCTGCTCCTCATAGAACTGACCATCATCCTCCTAACGCTACCTACGGGCCGCTTCCCTTCGTTACCAATTGTTCCGTCTAGTTCTTGCGTTAGCCATTCTATCAACACAGAAAGACAGACATCAGTACGATTAAACCAAACCGTAAAGAATACAATGAAACCTAATACTTAAGCTCTAATCAAGAGAAAACGCTACGTGGAAGAATTATACGATAGAATCCTAAAGACACTTGAACCTGGATTGCTCTGATACCAACTGTGATACCCCTCGGATCCGAGACACGGATTGATCAGGCCCAGGCCCAAACCCGAGGGATATCAAACAATTAATATGTAACCGAACACAGAATACAAGATAAAATAAGAAATAAAATAATAAGCTGGAAGAATGCTAATTGAAAATCCTTAAAAGAATATAATTATTGAAATCTGTTAAATCCAAACTCTATAGGTTTACAACTTGGGAATCCATCCATTGGACCCCTTATTAAAGATTCTCAAACCGAAACTAAAAAAAATAAAAATAAGATCTAGAGCTAACATAAAGAAGATTCCTACATAATCGGAGGAATGAATATCTGTATCTGCTCTGCACGTCCAAGCTCTAACCCTGGAACTGACGAACACCTGAAAAATAAAGAAGTGGGTCAGGCCCACATGCAAATCCTGATTTATTACAATCCATACAGTAATCCGATACGCAGATACATCCTAGGAAGACTCAACAATATCTAGAGTAGTCCACATAAGTATAAAGTACACATTATAGGACGTTCGCTAGTCCAGTAGGTCTGTCTCAGCCTGAATAGAAGGCAACATGCAAATACGCACCCTAAGGTGGGCATGAGCACCTAGACCTACCAGGGAATAACACCTATGTCCAGTTATCCATCCTAGGCGATATACGCGCCCTAACCATGGTCATGAGACTCAAGCTCATACCACGGCACCATATAATATATATATAAAGTCCGTACTCCTCCTAATACAAAATATCATCCAACCTTGTAGTGGTTTGATATAATGTATAATGCATCCATCCTGAAACCAAAAGTAGATCAATCAATTCACAATTGATATGACACAATTAGATGAAGGACTTAACCTTTACAATTAATCCATACCTTAATCCAAATTAGGTAGAACTTAGTGTTTTAACTAGTGCATACCCAGTATGTCACCGTCCCATACCGGTACATACAATCCAATCCGTCCAACATAATTATTGAGATAATTACTGTTATTTATCAACCATTATCCAGAATATGCATAAATACAATTTAATACATATCACATGACGTTAGGAAAATCATTACAGAACCTAAGCATCACATTCCATCCATTAAAGTTGCTAATATGAGTCATAGTATTCAAGTCCTCCATAAAATCCATAAATTGATAGAATTCACAAAGTATACTTATCAATTTATTCCATATCAAGAATAGATGAATTCAAGTATTTATTATTCTTATACTTCTAATTAAATACAACCAAACAGTAATAAAATATATATGCCAGCAAAATTCCAAGTTCCAGTACGTGGTTTAAATGTTCAAAACAGTTAGCAACTCCTGATATTTCTTAAATTTAATTTGTTCCAATCCTTAACCCAATCATGGATTAATATTTCCCTTAGTATAACAGGTTTATTCCAGACCCAACACCAATTTTAAAAAGTTTAAACAAAGTTCCAAGAACCTATACAGACCAAACAGTGCACAGAAACCAAATTTAGTGCGTTCAACTGAGAGTAGGCTCATTCAAAACAAAGAGCCTGCTCTTTTTTTTCAAAAGAGCCCACTCCATTGATCTAGGAGCCAGCTCCTAGATGCTAGAGCTAGCTCCACCTTCCTTTAAAGCCGGCTCTAAGGTAGAAAGAGCCGGCTCCTCCTCTTCTTGGAGCCTGCTCTTCTCCCCTTAGTTGCCGTCGTCCGTGCTACTGCATCTTCTTCGACTGCGGTGTTTTCCAGACCTCTGTAAGGTTCTTAATGGTTGTTCTAAGGTTCAATCTTAGTTTTAAGGTAATCTTAACCCATTGTTAACTAATCCTAACTTGTATAGAACACAATCCTTTTTGAAGCAAACAATTACAGAAATTTTAGTTCTAAACTAATTCAATTCAAAACAGATTTCTTCGGTGAAATTTGAATACTGTTTTTACTACTTGATTCAAAGTTTAATCCCAACCCCAGATTAATTACTAATCATCAGTACACAATCATGATCTCAACTTAATCAAAAATTAAACATAAACACCGAGAAGAACAAATAACAGAAAACATCAAGGTTTATGCAAGTCACTTATTTCAATGAGATTAATATAATTCATATATGGATATAAGACTTGATATCATGTTGGTTTAATCCATTTTTAGCCTTTAATTAATCCTTGGAGTCTAACCAGGCATGCACAAAACACGAATTAAAGGGAAAGAAAAAAACAAGACTTGCCTTGAGTTTCAAACTTTAAAGCTCTAATTCCACAGTTTCTATATTCTCCCTTGAACTGCTCTGCCAATTCCCCAAGTTCACGCTCTGTTTCTTAGCAGCCCCTTGTGTTACAGACGTAACCTTATGTTTGTCTAAAACCCTAAACCCCAGTACATGTGTGTATTTATAGACTTAAACAATAACCCTAATCCATAAATAACTTGGCCCATTGAACAAACTAGGTTTAAAACAGTGTCAGCTATAAGAACTTACATAAGTTTATAAGTACCAGAAATATAATGACAATGAATTAAATAAATAAGACAACCATTAACAAATAATTAATAATTAACAATTAATCAAATAATTAAAAACACATAAATAATTAACAATTAAGCAAATAACATGCCATTTAATAAACACAACAAACAAGTAAACAATTAATCAAAAAAAAAAAAAACAATTAAATCAAAAATTAAATACCAGAAATATCCTTTTAAAATTAGGGGTATTACACGAACTACCTTCGGATCGTCTTCTCCTAGAACATCATCTTCTTCGGCTAGAAGACTAGCCAAGAAATAGCCTCCACGACTTCGTTCTCAAATTCCATACAATGATGAAGGCTTGGAATCACTCCGATCTCCTATGAAAAAGAAACAATCTCCCTCAGGAGTGTAAACTGTAACTCTTCCTCTAAAACAGTCAATCGTGGCACGAAAGAAAGTTAACAAATCCATCCTAAGGATGACATCAAAGCTAGTCATCTTGAGGAGGATAAGGCCAAACACAAAGGTCCGCCCGGCTATCACGATGGAACAATCTCTCACAACTCTGTTTAAAGACACTGAAACCCCAACTGGCGTATCAACACACAACGCCTGATCCATGAAACTAACCTCTAACCCCGATGCAAGTGCAAATGATAATGAAATGAAGGAATGAGATGCACCAGAGTCAAAAAGAATGCGGGCCCAAGAACCAAACACTGGAAAGATACCTCAAAGAACTGACGATCCAGAAGAGGTATCAGCCGGTGTAAGTACAAAGACACGTCCCTGCGGTGCCTGAGCTTGAGAACTGCTACCCTGAATACCGAACTGCTGCACTGGCACAGTAGGAGCATCCCTCCTAATAGATCGTGAACCCTGAGAAGAAAGAGCAGGCTGTGATGGTAGCAGTGATCTAAAACCTGACTGAACTATAGCCAATTATGACGGCCTCTGTCGTAACCTTCTGCCACTACTAGTGCCTGTTCCCTGACTAGGACAGTCTCGAATCAAGTGACCCTGTTGGCCACACCCATAGCAAGCCTTTGGAGCTGAAGAAACTGAAGACGATCTCATGGGAAAACTGGACTTGTAATACCCTGGCTGTTGACACTGGAAACATACGACTCCACTCTTGTCAGACCCCGCTGGCATAGGAGTGGTAGGAGCGGATCGTACAGACTATTACCCCTGAAACTGAGATGATCCACTCTTGTTCTTTTTCCAAGAAGGTCCTTCTGAAGATGGCCCTACACCTCTCTTTTGCTTCCACTGCTCCCTTCTTGCATCCTTATCTTTAATATCAGCCTCAAACATCAAGGCCCTCCCTACTGGCTCAAAATAAACTCTGATAAACTGTGTAGTTATCAATGGCCTCATTCTATCATTAAGACCAGAAACAAATTTCAAATTCTTGTCAACTTCATCTCTTACCATTTCCGGAACAAAGCGAGAAAGTGAAGTGAACTTGTTATCATACTCCATCACTGATATATTGCCTTGAATAAGGCCAAGAAACTAGTCTTTTAACTCTAATCTTTTAGAAAGCGGAAAATACTTCCTGTAAAATAGCTCCTTGAACTTGTCCTAGCTCATTTCTTCCACCTTATGTCGATTTGTAACCATCTTCCACCAAAGTTTGGCATCCTTAGCAAACTTGTAAGTTACTAGGATGATCTTCAGGTGATCTTCTGTCACATCCATTGAGGTCAACTGAGTTTCAAATTGATCCATGTAGTCGTCCGCTACCATTGGATCCTCACCGCCCTCAAACATTACTGGCATCAACTGAGAAAATCCCTTAATGATCTTGAGACGCTTCTGAGCTGGCGTCTCCTCAACTTGAACTGTAGGTTGTGGTATCGACTGCGACTGAGCCGTAATCGTTGCCCTCACGGCACTTTGCAACAAACGATTTAACTCCAGTGCCACAGAACCTTCACCCACTTCTACAGGTGCTTCAACATTATCCCTCATCGTGGGGACAACTCTCGGGGGAATCATGCCCCTAACAAGTGTGTCCTCATCATTTAGCTCCTCCGGATTGGAGCTGGAGCTCTCGCCAATATCACCCCTAGTCGGCCTAGGGCCAACTTCCCTGGTTTCCTCACGCCGTGACTTTCGTACTATAAAATGAGAAAACAGTTCAAAAACATGATGTTAAAGTCCACCGTGGACGACTCAACAAAGAATGATGACATACTAACACTTAGCATGCATAACTATACAAGAAACATTTTAACGTAACATTTAAGCACGTAAGCACATAAAAAATTAAGCATGCTTGTTCAAGAAAAAAAAACAAGTAGCAAGTAGTTATGTAAACAATGCAAACAACTTCCCATGCAACTCTATGTAGGCCTCTACCCGTCGTCCTATAGGTTTTCGAACCAAGGCTCTGATACCATTCTGTAACAACCCAGATCCACTGGATCCGGATCATTAATGTCCATACCCGACCCAAAATCATCCAAGGGTGATACAGTTCTTTCACGTTAAATTAAATATATTTAAGTCCAACAAGGACGGAATGGTCATTTGTCATAATTCCATTGGTTTAAGACTCTAAGGGTATAATGGTCAATTACTCGTAGTATAAAATAATTAAGATAAGGTTCCTGTGTAATATAGTCTTTTATGTGGTTAAAATATAATTATTGAATTTTATTGGGTCATAAAATAAATACTCACAACATTAATTAGGTGCTAAAGAGTAATTATTTCGGAAACTAAACAAAAAATGTATATAATAGGAACCGGTACTGGTTTGGGTTATGCACAATGACATAGCTCACGTGTGGGAAGCTACACATCGACTGGTTTAGAACGTGTACAGTAAAAAGACTCACTGTCAGGATACCGGTCGACGTGTGGGATGTTACACGTTGACTGGTTCAGGTCATTCAGTCGACGTATGGAACTATACGTCGACTGGTTCTGGGTAATTCCTCACTCAACTCCCCACTGTCCAATGAGAACCAATATACACCAACATTTGGTAATTAACCACCCACGCCATTACACTCACGTACAAATTTAAATACATTTTAACACTTAATATAATAACAACAACCACGTTGTTAACATAATTTGCCACGCGTCACTTAAATACACAAAAGGATTAAATGTTGGTACACTCAATTACATTACCCCACTGGCCATGTACATAATAAATCCAAATATTTTAGATGTTGCAAAAGTAATACATCTTTACAAAATAAGTTCAAGCTCTACAAAAATACATCCAAAATGCTTCCTAGGTGCTCTCAAGCAAGAGGTGGATTATCATCCTCCAACTCTTTGCCGTGACCTGAAAAGAATTTAAATATGGTGGGGTAAGCAATTTGCTCAATAAGTGGCACCTAAGACGTACCTCTTGAGTCCCAGTGAATCTAAAACAAAGAATAGAACCATAGAAAATGGGGTCATACAATGTCGGAAATTTACAACATGGTTTCCAATCTTAACAAAAATAATATGATGCAATAGGGATGCAATGCATGCCGATATCCCTCCCCATTTTTTTTCACAATTTAAAATCATCACTTTCAAACTGTTAATATAACCCGCCCTTTGTTGACCCCGCAACGACACGAGAGAAGGATTGGCTAGTGTCACTGACCCTTGGTAGCCCTGTGGCGTCATTATACGCCCAGCTAGCTTAATCACGCTAGGGCGACTCCCTAGTTCCCTCTATGCTATATTAACACTCCGGCCCTTTGGTACCCCCGCAGCGACTGGGTTTTCTCAAAACCGATTCAAAACAATTTTCTCCCGAAAATCCCCTTTTTACTTTATCCAAAACATTACCCATCATGAAACCCAATGACTTACATGCATGTCTCATACTTTTAATGCTTTAACAATAAGGGATTTTCACATAACACAACGAAGCATGCCTTCATCCATCATTCATAGTATATAAACAACATAATAAGCATAGAAATTCATCATATAAGCATGTTTTCCACATAATACATTTAATACATGTCCTCACACAACCACATATACACAATTAAATCATTTTAAACTATAATTAGCACAAATAAGCATGTTAAGTCACAATTCAAGTAATTTGACTCACAAAAGTGCAAGAATATGCGGATTAGGAAGCCCCTACCTCAAGTTTGTGCAAAACCCTTAAAATGGTTTCCAAATTTCGAAAACCCTATGGAGGCCCAAAGCTGAAATTGTTGGTATTTACGCGTAAAGCTCATCGTGCTCTCCATTTTGCCTCAAACGGCACCCCAAAATTCCAAGTAATGAGAGGGTTATCAAGCTTTAAAGATTGAAGTAAAAGAAAAAAAAAAAAATGGAGTTTGAGAGAGTGAGATAGAAACTAGCGAGGAGAGAGAATGTAAGGCCATATGTGGTCTCTAGACCACTAAAAACATGAGTGGTGGGTCCCACCACCAACTTTGACTTTTCCTTTTTCTTTTATTTGCAACTCAACCCCATAATAAAATATATAATGCACCACCATAGGAATGCTACATAAAATAAAATGTATGAAATGCAAATGGACTCAATTAAAATACCGTACGAAAAATGTGAAAAGACAGAAATACCCTCACGACGATGAAATTCCAGAAAAATGAAAAATGTGAAAAATTGGAAACATCACAGTCTCCCCAACTTAAAAGGATTTCGTCCCCGAAATCAAGCCATACCTGGGGAGGAAAACAACTCTGGGTACCTGGAGCAAACCTGCTGCTCAAGCTCCTAAATAACCTCCTCGACTCCATAGTGTCTCCAAAAAACTTTTACTAACTGGATTATTTTGCCTCTTAACACCTTCTGCCGTGTGTCAAGGATCTGCACTGGTCCCTCTTCATAGGAGACATCTTCATCGACATCAACATCAACCCAATCCAAAATATGAGATGGATTCGGCTCATACTTCCATAGCATCGGCACATTAAAAACATTGTGAACTTTGTCCATCTGTGGTGGCAATGCAAGTCTGTAGGCCACCTCTCCCACGAAGTCCAAAATCTCAAACGGTCCACTAAATCGTGGCAACAACTTGCCACTTTTCCCAAATCTCATCAATCCTTTTCGTAGAGAAACTCGTAAGAAAACATGGTCTCCCACCTCAAAAGATAGCGGTCGTCTCCGCCTATCCGCATAGCTCTTCTGTCGGCTCTGAGCTGTGAGCATTCTCTGTCTGATCAATTTAATTTTCTCGGTAGTCTCGAGTACAAGGTCGGGTTCTAAAGCGGCTGTCTCGCCCACCTCTGTCCAACAAACTGGAGACCTACAAGCTCTGTCATACAACGCCTCAAATGGAGCCATCTCGACGCTCGCCTAATAACTGTTGTTGTAGGCAAACTCAATAAGCGGTAGATAATCTTCCCAACTACCACCCAAGTCAAGCACACATACCCGAAACATATCCTCCAAGATCTAGATAGTACGCTCCGACTGGCCGTCTGTCTGTGGATGGAATGCCGTACTAATATGCAATGCTGAACCAAACACTGCTTGAAGTCCCTTCCAGAACTTTGAAGTGAACTTGGCATCCCTATCTGAGACAATGGTTACTGGAACTCCATGTAACCTTACAATCTCCTTCACGTAAAGATTACCAAGTGCCTCTGCATTATCTGTTGCCTTAATAGGCAAAAAATGAGCCGTCTTGGTTAGTCTATCAATGACGACCCATACGGCCTCGTTACCCTTCTGTGACCTTGGAAGACCTATCACAAAATCCATAGTAATCTGCTCCAATTTCCATTGCGTTACAGGCAATGGTTGCAACAACCCAGCCGGTTTCTGATGCTTAGCCTTCACCTGTTGACAAGTAAGGCATCTAGCCACAAACTGTGCAACATTCTTCTTCATCCAATTCCACCAATACTGACGCCTCAAATTGTGATACATCTTGGTACCACCTGGGTGAACTGCAAAGTGGGAAGTGTGAAACTCCCGTAAAACGTCTTCACGACAAACTGTAGGAACCACAAATAAACCCCTGTACCGTAGACCCCCCATTTGCATGCAAGGTCCAATCTTTCACTGTTTCACCATTAGAGATTAAAGTGTGAATGGCATCCAAATCAAAAACCTGTCTCTGTGACTCAATCACTTGCACAACAAGAGTAGGCTGAGCCACAAGAGTAAATAAGAAAGCTGATTCACCGCAACCATCGTCG